AACATGTGTAAATTTTCGCTCTTTTAGGCGTTCTATTTTTTGACCCCTGTATTGCGCCATTTTGAATAGAGAAATCGAAAAACAAAAACCGATGTGCACAACTTCAATCCTTCTGTTATTTAAAATTAGTAAAATTTCTGCTCCAGCTCTATTGGTTTCTGAGCCTTTGTCTGGAAATGAAAGCCTATAATTTTTCGTTTAAAGGGAAATAACTCAAAACCGGAAGTGACTTTTTGAAATTATTGACAGCATTCTGATAGAGTTTATTACCGTCTATAATGTCTGAAAATTTGAACAAAATCCATTAAAAAATGAGCGAGATACGAGGCCTCAAAGGTGGCGTCTAGGAAGAAAAAAAAAAAAAGAATAATAAGAATAATCTTAATCTTCAGAATCAGTAGAAGGTCTTCCGTTGGAAACGGAAGACCTTAATAAAGTACATCTGTTCTCTTAACTTTTTAGATTTAATATGGATCCTCGCACGAGTGCGCAAGATGTCATCCGATGTGACCTTTGTGAGACAGCTATAGTACAGAAGTACTGTGATTTCTGTCATGTCAATCTGTGCATTCCTTGCATAGGAAAACATATTTCTGATGACTATGACAAACATAAAGTAGTCCCATACCGAGAAAAAAAGTTAACTTTAATCTATCCTAAGTGCTCAGCACATCAAACAAGAAGCAGCGAGTTTCACTGTAAAACGTGCGAAACCTCTGTGTGTTCTCTTTGTGCTTTATCTGATACACATAGGGGGCACACAGTTTCACCTCTTTCTGATCTTTTTTATTCAAAGAAAAAAGTTATTGGGAAAGATGCTGAAGAATTAGAAAACTTAATTTCTCCAACGTATGCAGAAATTGCTAATAATATAGAAAGCCAAATAGCTAACTTAAATGGGGAATATGGAAATCTCAAAACAACGTTGATCAAATGTGGAGAAGAATGGCACAGAAAAGTCGACTTAATTGTCGAGAAACTAAGAATTGAAATAGAAAAGGAAAAAACGAAGCATGAGAGTATTCTGAAGGCGCATTTGAATGAAATCAAACAGATACAGACTCTTATTGAACAAACCCTTCTAAATCTTACACAAATTGAAGATTCAAATGAAGTATCTTTGACCATGGAATACATCTCACGAACGAAGGAATTAAGCAAACTACCTCCAAAAATGCAAATATTACTACCAACTTTTAGTTCAAGGACAATAGACACAGAACAGCTTTACAAGTTATTTGGATATTTAACACCATTATTCGTCACAACAGAGGAAAATGGCTACGAAGTAAAAAAACCAAAGATATCAACAAAAGACATGCTGGAGACACAGGTAAGTGATGTCAAGTGCCCATGTTAACACAATAATCACATTATTTCAACACCAGACATTCAAATTCAGTTAGTTTGGGGTCTCTTTCTTCTCTTCATTCTTGTTTACTTTATTCTCTTTCTTGACAAAATCAGTTTTTGGTTAAGAAATTCCCATCAATAGATATGTTTCATGCTTTCAGACTTGGGACACAGAGAATATGCCCTTTACCGATAAGCTGCTGGTGGCAGCCATTGACTTTGGTACCACCTACAGCGGCTATGCATTTTCTTATAGAGATGAATACGAGAAGGACCCTTTGAGAGTCAGCTCCAAAGTTTGGGTATCAGGCTCCAGTAGTCTCTTGACCTTGAGGACCCCCACCTGTGTTCTGTTCAATAAACACAAAGTGTTCGACTCGTTTGGTTATGATGCGGAGAATAAATATTCAGAACTCACATTAAAAGAGGAACATGCGGAGTGGTATTATTTTCAGAGGTTCAGGATGTTTCCATTCAACAAAGAGGCAAGTCCATCACTTAATCTTTGAGGAATGAAAATTATATAAAGTCAGAATTGTTCTTAAGGGGCCGGAAATTTCTCCCTTTTTAATGACATAATCTTCCGGGTATTCTTGTATTTCCTATATATCAACATCCTTTTAGAAGAGGAACCCTTAACTCACTTCTATTTGATAATGTCCATTTTGATAGAACCTTGTTTTAAGTAAAGGCAGTTAAAGATAATAAAATAAATTTATATTTGAAGAAAATTTGTATAATTTTATATTATGTAAAAATACATTTTTTGCGTATTGAAGATTCGATTTAAAGATGAGCCTGTTTTAATTAACAAACTATGTCTTCAAAATGCTAAAGATGTTGTATACATTTCTCACAGGAACCACTTTCAAAAGTCCTAAAAATAAAAACTATAGACGGGAAGGAGATGGTGGCTTTGGATGTATTTTCAGCGGTCATTAAATTCCTGAGGGATCACCTACTACTTACTGAAAACGAAAAAGGCACAGGGATCCAAGAAACTGATATAGGCTGGGTCTTAACAATACCTGCTATCTGGGACTATCCTGCCAGACAGTTTATGAGAGAGGCGGCAGTGAGGGTATAAGCTAAAAATTAGCCTAGAGAAAAATCAGCAAATTCAATTAAAGTTTTTATGTACTTAGGCCCATTTAGGACCCATCCAAAATATATATTTGGATGACATATATAATGATTTGTCGAATTTGTTCTGAAATTGGAATTTGTAATTACAAATTTCTTTGAATTCCTTATGAAAGATAAATCTAATAACAAAGTCAAAAATTTGTTACAGCGAAATAAATTCGCTAAAACAAATTCTATTTGCACGTATATAATTTAAGAAAAATACCAAATGTAAAATAATTTAAGAAAAATACCAAACGTAAAATAATTTAAGAAAAATACTAAATGTAAAATAAGTCAAGAAACATACTAAACAATTTTATATTCAACTTTTAACTGTCTGAAAAGCCATCAGGCAGAAAGCGCTAACAGTAAAAATGATATTCGAGTCTTGTGATTCCTGACTTATATATACACACAGGGAAAATGTTGTAGAAGTCCATGGTATAGGTTACGTCATAAATCCAAATTAAATTCAATATAAACAAACAAGTTCACGTTTAGTTTTTACACTAAGCACTTTCGCTGTGTGTATATATATATATATATATATATATATATATATATATATATATATATATATATATATATATATATATATATATATATATATATATATATATATATATATATATATATATATATATATATATATATATATATATATATATATATATTACACATATGAATTCGATAATATAACATTTTATAGAATAAGTTTTAATGAATTGTATACTTTCCAACAAATTAAAGAATTGATTTTGTTCAAAGGAATTCAATTCGTTACAAGGTTCAGAATTCGTTATGCCGAATTTTATTCGATATGACAAGCTTTTGAATTCCATAAATTGATTTATTAATGCCCTGTTCACACGACAAGTTTAATTCGCAGTAAATTAATGCGAAGTAAACTAATGCGAATCAAACTAATGCGAATTAAATTGCGTTCACACGACAGCTAATGCGAAGTAAACTAATGCGAATTAAACTTTTACTTTGACAGTCAGGCGTGAGGAAGGCTATTATGACGTCATTTAAAAATCACGTCATCTTATGCAGAAGCAGATGCATTTGACATGTCACAGTGTCTGGAGACATATTTTAGTGATTAACACATTTTTCCTTAGTTTTTCACTCAAACATAGCACAAGTACTTAAAGCTGACCACTGACATGACGCATTTGACTTAATTTTGCCATTACGCATGCCCCAAAATTTAAATTCGAATTAGCTTCGCTTAGCGTTCACACGGAGCTAATGCGAAGTAATTTAATGCGCAGTAAACTAATGCGAAGTAAACTAATTCGCATTAAATTCTCCGTGTGAACGCAAAGCGAAGCTAATTCGCAGTAAACTTACGTTTAATTCGAATTAAACTCTCCGTGTGAACAGGGCATAAATTTATTATACAGATTGTATTATAGGGCAGTTATTACAAACATTTTTATGAGGCTTATATAATATTCTCTAAACATGATATTATGTCTCATACAGAATTTGTCCTTAAATAGGGCTAATAGTTAGGAAAACATAACCTGTATATTTAAAGTTCTAATTGAGACTGCAAATTGAAAAAAAATGTTTAAGAATATATTTGTTAAAGGCTTGCTTACCACTATGATGAGAATTTGATTTTGTTTAGGCTGGAATATCCAGGGACCAGTTACTGATGGCACAGGAGCCTGAGGTGGCCACCTTATACTGTAAACATATCTCTAAAAAGAAACTGCTGTCTGAGGGGGGCGTCCAGGGATTCGAGGTCTTCTCCAAGGGAAGCAAATACCTAGTTCTGGATTGCGGAGGTGTGTCTTAGTTTTATATTCATGTATGTACAGCACAACTGTTATAGCCTAACTTTATTTAAAAAGAAACTCTCTAACACGTTAAGTGTAACTAAAAAACTTTAACTATCGAAATTAAAGGAATTTTTTTTTATTGATTTTCTATTATTTTCTAATGTTTTGCGAAATTGCCGAGATAGCGTCCATCCAGTGTCTTGATATGCTCTCAGAAATAAAAAAAAGCTATTGGAAATATAACTTTAGCTACATCATCAAACAATTATGATAATAATAATAAGCATTTAATATGTAGAGTAAAACCTCTTTATCTCAAACTCGATAGGACCAAAATTAAAAAAAATGAAGGAGTATCCCACTATTTGAGATCACAGGCCTAAGAAAAAGAAATTGAGGTGTTGAAAAAAATTAAAGGTATGGAACTCTTTACATATGGTATCTACTTTCCTTTAAATCAAATGCTTTACAATTTTACTTTCTCCCACATCTATACATATATAAACCATCTTCATTAAAACCAAAGTTTATTCCGTAGTTCTTTATACTTCTCGTGATATTCTGAAATCAATTCCAAAATTGACCTAAATTTTTTTTACTCGACATCAGTTTTGGCCTTTGAAGAGCTATACTGATTGATAAGCGGGAACGACGGGACAAATTTTCCTGGGAATGTATTCAATGAATGAATCAACTCAATGAATATTTGCTCATTTGCATTTTTCTCTAATTTGATCATATGATCTAACTAAGTCACAAACAACATTTTAGCGGTCTAATTGTTTTGAAGATCGAAATGTATATAATGCATTTCGGGGAAAATTCGTTCAATTATAGCTTCTTTTATATTCATAATCAACACTGCGGTGCAGTTGTTGATGTAGACGTTTTCAAATTAATTTTTCACGAAAGGAATTATCAAGTGCGGACTTAACCTTACAATCTGGAGTAAGAAATCAACTTTAAAATGTTGAACAATTTTGCAAATACTTTGCAACTCTTCGCTGCACTTCATGTGCACTTCGTCTGTTTACATGTGAATGAAGCTAATATCGAGTAAAAGAAAGTAGGTCATTTTTGAAATTGATTCAGAATATCTCGAGTAATGTATGGAATTTCGGAATGAGCTTTGGTATTAATGAAGAATGTTTATCTATGAATGTTTATCTATGAATAGATTTAAGGTCATTGGCAACACAGGGTTTCCGGAGATAAAGTTTATGCATAGGTTTTTTCACGTATGAAACTGCTCATCGAGAGAGACCTCCCGTATGGAATTCTCTAAGCGGTGAAAACAAATAAAGCATGTGTTACAGACTGAGAGATATAGAAAATCACTTGCGTTTTTTTCCGGATATAATGTAAAATCACATATTTTCGTGTGGTCAAATTTTCGTGGTTTGAGGAAAAACTCTTGGTTCATGGGGAGTTTATTTCGTGGATGATGAATTATTGCGTAGTTATGTATGTAGCATTTTACATTTCGTGGTGGACATGAATCCGTGGGTCTCGTCATACCTCTAAAAGAACGAAAATTAACCCCCCTACGAAAATTCATGATTTCACAGTATTCAATTCTACAGTAAATAAATAAAAGTAGCGATGGGTTTGTTTACATTGTGCTGAAGGGGAAAGACAGTCAATAGGTCGTCATTTAGAATAAGTACTTGTTTGCTGGGAAGTGCAAAGAGATGTGACATAATTATTTTGAAAGAGGTGATAGTTAGGTAGGCAGATGAGAACGATTCGAAAGGTTATGTGAAGGAGGCACCATTGAAATTAAATTATAAATCCTTGCCAAAATGTTTTTTGACAGTTCGTTTCTAATAAACATGATAAAGTAAATTAATTGTAGACTAGAAACAAACAACCAGTCTCTTAATCATTATGAATAATAATTAGATATTTAGGGAAGTAAATCAAAATTAAAGAACATTGCTGGTATTTCTGTGTCTTGTTTCTATATTTGCATTTTCAGCCAAAGTATATGCATGTCATCGGAAATGAGGATTCAACAATGTATTTTATCTATAAACTTTATGAAGTAAATGGGTTTTTAGAGAAAACGTATGGTTTAAAATAATATAGGTTGTTTGGTACCATTAAACCTGTTCAAAAGTTCTTGAAAAATTCTAAAGGAAAGCCAAAAACGTTGCCAATGTCCTTAAATAGACAGTTGAATTTAGAGCATTTGAATAAAAATATTTTATTTGCGAAATAGAGCACACATTGTAAGAGTTCCATACCTTAATTATTTTTTACACATATTTTTTAAGCGATCTAAAGGCCTGTGTTTGAGAAATAAAGGGTAAAATATTTAAATAAAGAGGGATTGCGACATCAAAAATGCTCCGACATTTCCATGGTATTCAACATTCTGGCCCCTGGATTATGAAGCATCTTAAACTTAAGTCAAAATTTTCATGCTATACCTAAATATTGTGGAAGTCAAGCAGATCAAAGTTTTAAAATTTTTCATTATAGATTTACGATGCTGCTGTTCTTTGAACATTTTGAAATTAATTCAGTCATTATTAAATATTATACAGGCGATCGAAAATTTACTTACATGAAACTCTAAGTCTGTTTCATGATCCTGGGGCCTGGTGTTCAACAAGTTTACATTAATTGTAAATGTAATATATAGCCTTTAACCTGTTTGCAGTCTCTGCCTTATAATGTTTTTATGTTATTTTTTCAAATGCTTTATTGATTGTATGATATCGACGCTGCCTTTACATCAGTCTGATTAAAATCAGATCCTTCGATCCGCTCACATAGATCGCTACACAAGGTAGCGATCTATGTGAGCGGATCAAAGGATCTGATTTTAATTAGATTGCCTTTACATTGAAATAGAATTGCAATAGGAAAATTTTATTGAAAATCACAAGTAAAAACGTAAACGTTTTAGGAAAAATGAACAGGAAGAAAATGGAGTTTGTTAACAATTCGAATTAATCTAATTAAATGTACATGTAACGGTAATACTAGATGAACGATATGATCTTGTTTTTTTTATTAAAATGATACGTATTCAGCTAGACCTATATGTTACGTAAGTGCAAACCGAACAACTTTCAGTGACCGTGCCAACAAAAGATTTTACTTAATTAAGACCTTAACTAAGAGAGTAAACAGCAAAACAAAGGATTTTAAATATTGTTTACAAAATTTAATACTTTCATGTCTGTTTCCACATTTCATGTATTCCGTGTATCGAAAGAAGTTCGTTTGAAAGATATAGGCCTATATACCTGAATACAATAAACATCTATAACAGAGTAGAATGCATAGATGTAAATACCACAGTCTTACAACATGCTCACATAATTATATGCCTTTCTTACCCAGGAATTAAATCACAGATCAAGAATCATTTCTCGGCACATACATCTCTCTCTCTCAACTAATCGACCGAAAAACACCACAGGCTGTTTAAACAAATCTTTTTTCATCTGTTTACATCCATCAATCCAGCATAGGTACCAGCAATAAGTTGCTAATCTCAGGGTATATTATGACGTTATTTTGTTTATGTATTTAACGTCATCAACACGCCGTTCTAATTAATTCAACGTATTAAATTTAAAAGGTATTTATTTGCAATGCCGCAATTCATTATCTTTCGTGCCATTGAATGTTGATTATAAAAAAAATAAAGGAAAACGTAAATACTTCATTATAAGAGTGATTATTTTGGATTCATCACAATTTTCATTATGATATTTCAATGTAATTTACGACTTGTCATGTACAGATAAAACAATTAATTTACCTAGGTAAACTTTTTTAAAAACATATACACATTTACTTTTATAAACAAGTAGTATGGGCGACGGAAAAGGTAAAAAAGACGTTTAAGCAAAACTAACAACTAATTATATAAACATTTAAGGAATGAAGCTTATTTCAACTTATGTTATCCGATATAACATAACTTGGGGCAGTTTACGCTTTATAAACCGCGAAGCGGTTTATAAGAAAGCGTAAACTACCCCAAGTTTTGTTATAAAGGATAACATAAGTTGAAATTAGCTTCATTCCTTATAATTTAATTTCTGTGTAGACAATGAGGCAATATTTCCTCCGGAAAAAGTCTTCAAATTAAAAGTAACGTCAAGCGGAGTAATACGTTTTTGACGTAAGTCATTGTGACGTAGGCAAGATATGTTATACAAAATGTTATATGTTCCTCTGAATGATTCAGCCAATGAAATTGCTTGATACAAGTGAAATTAAATTATTATGAAATACAAAACAGACAACCTTAAAAACAGAATCAACAGACTTGTTTGCAAAATCAACAGACTCCGATGCAAAACCAACGATTATTCACTGAATTGTCGCTAGATGGCGTGCAAAAAACATATATTACCTGAATTTACGCTAGATGGCGCAGAAATTTTTCTACGTCATCATTATTTGGGTACTTTCATAGGAACGTAAATCCCGCGAAATTAATATAAGGAGCCAATTGGCAAACCTCGGAATGTATTATTGAATAGATTATCGGTATCGAAATCATATATGCTAGTATATCGGAATACATATAATAGGGGATAATATACTATATATACATTATACCCATTTTTATCTATCAAATAGACCCTGTGTATATTTTAGGGAGTGACTTGAGTACTTTAAAATATAAAGAAAAGAAATTAAGGCAAAATGTGTGTGTATCCATACCTTTTTTTGCTTAAAAATAAGATGAAGGAATGTAGGACAGCGATTACTCCGGGTTTAAATTTGGGGGATACTGTTTTCGGAGAAATTCGGAAAATTGGTAAGGGACCTAGAGGCACAGAGCCTGCTGGGGGGACGAAGGCCCCTGGATGTAATTGAATTTTTAGCATGCACTTTTATGGCCATTTAGATAGCATAAATTGCAGCGTGGAACCATTTTCTGTGTTAGTCAAAATGCACATGGGACATGGTCTACTGTGCTTACCTTGGCAAAGATGCCACCACACCTTGTACAAGAGTAAGTCTCATCCTTGTGG